GAGCAGGAGGGCAGTATGGACATACCTATGCAATTCCTGGACAAACATCTGGGTAGCTTGGATTCCCATAAGTTGCCCAGATAGGATTTGATACACATTGCAACCTTTGTTTTTAGAAAGATTAGATGTTTAAAATTTAATCCAGATTTCACGGTGGAAGAATCCCCAACAGCATACATAACAACATTCATAGGCCAAATTATAATTTTGGAATTGCCGGCCTTAATAGTATATTATTATAATAATTTCCCCTCCCCCGGTTCTCTCTCACCCCTCCCAACTGATATGCCATATGGCTTTGCCAAGACAGGATGCAAAGTCTTACAAGAAAACAGAAACACCTAGATGCAAACAGATGAACTGGTTTTAAAATGGAGCCTCATGCTGCACCTTCCACATGAAGTGAAATATTCTGTTTCTCATTACGGGTTTTGGAGACACTGAAAATCACCATGAAAAGCAGCATTAACCTGCCCATAGTGCTGGGGGCAATCCAGCCACATTTTTCACGCTGGTCTTTTGCTTCAATTTTTGTAGCCTTAACTTTGTGTTCTTAAACTAACCTGAAAAAAGTACAGAAGACAAATAAGTAGAGCCATGGTAATTACATTAAAAAGAAAAACAGTACAGCCAAAACACTGCTGTCATGAGTCATTACGGAAAAACTCCCAGAAACCAAGGGGAAATTTTGCCTAAAGAGACAGTAGCCCTCAAATGGGAACTGTGTTAATTGTGGCCAAACATTCAGAAGAAAGTGTATTTAAACAAAACAACAAACCACTCCTTTTTCCTCTCTTTGTAAACCAGCTATAAAGATTAGCCTCAAATCCTGATTTCAGATACAGAAAAGACATGGAATGATTTGCAGGTGTTCACTATTTCTTGCAGATCTTCACAGCAGCACAAGTGAATTCAGGAGGAAAACCTGATATGTAGACAAGATACAGACAGACACAGGGGCATGGATCTTTTTGTTGCCATTTGCTTTAGATATAGCACTCATCCCCATATATGTGTGTGTGTGTGTGCGCGCGCGCGTGTGTGTGTGTGTGTGCGCGCGTGTGTGTGTGTGTGTGTGTGCGTGTGTGCGCGCGCGTGTGTGTGTGCGCGCGTGTACACACACACAAAAATCCCTTATGGTCTATAAAAAGACCAAAGATGTTTTTGAAAGACAATGTAAGGCAGCTTTTTATGATGGAAACTAGCAGCAGTCCCACATGTGCTGGATACCAACAGCAGCAACAAAAGATGGCACTCAAAAAACTTGAGGCTTCCCCAGGTACATTGGCGATGCGTAGGGGGTGCATGTGCACCCCCTGGAAGTGCCAGCCGTGAAACTGGAAGTGCCGGTGGAAGCACACTTCCAGTTTTGCCGCTGGATTGGCAATCGGCCACTGGGGGACCCCCCTGGTTGGCGATCTGGTGCCGCCCCAGACTCAGGAGGCACCACTCACCCATGCCGAGGTAGCTAGCGGCTGTAGCCACTTAAGCTTCCCTTCTGCCTTCCTCACCACCCCAAATGGGTCTCTATCCACAACAATGTTAAATTAAAAAAAAGAAAAAAGACTTTTGCCAAGATTAAATGGAACTGATGTTACCAGAAATCGGTGCGAGGGGGAAGTAGTTGCACGAAGACATAGAAATAGCATTTTTAGATCAGACAATGCAATTTGTTTTTTTAAATGAATATTAAACCTTGTAAAAACTTTTTTCAAAACACGCTTCCTCCCGCCTCTTTGCCTCTGAACATTGTAAGTAGCACAAAAGATCACATTACAAATGCCAGCTGTGGCTCTCTTGGAAGGTGGCCTCCATCTCAGAGGTAGTATATGTTCCTCACGGCCTAAGTGGTTGCTATGGCAAGTACACTTTTTATTGAATAGCTGAGTGAAATAGCTCCTAAAGAGCCCCATAAGAGCCCCATAAATGGTCAAAATCTGCAGCAGTTCCACATTAGGCTTCTTGAAAGTGGGTTCCTTTGTAGTTTCCAAAATGGATGAGGACCTGGTTTGGGGTTTTTTCATGGTTTTTTTTGGACAGTCAACTAATCATGCATTTCATCCACATACTGATTGGGGGACATGGCAAAGGACTGCAGGGAAGGAAGGAGGGAGATCAGCAAATTGCAAGCATATACTCCCAGAGGGGAAAACCCTGTACTTCTGTCTGAAATGAGAAAGGATCTGATTATATAAAGGGCAATGGCCTTTTCCCAAATAGCAGAATTCTGCAAAACCTGGAAGTCAATGGACAGCTCTCCCATCTTTACCTGGATTCTCAATTCTGAATTGGAACTGCATTTAAAACAAGCGGCAAATTTAGTTAGCATTCAATCATTCTTTCAAATGATTAGAAAGGGCTGTCGTGCGTCCTCTAAACTCAGTTAAAACCTCTTCTTTCCACTACCTCCACCTACAAGTCTATTATTAAATGAAACGCTGCCTTATAATTTTACTTTGCCACATCTGATGACGGAAGCTGCAACTATATTTAGACAGACTACAAAAATGGGCAGATGAGAACAGGATGGGGTTCAACGCAGACAAATGCAGGGTGCTGCACCTTGGGGAGAAGGAATCCACAGCACACAGACAGGCTGCGGAGTTCCCCTCTTGAAAGCACAGAGGCGAAAAGGGATCTTGGAGTGATCTCCAAGAAGAACATGAGCCGCCAAAGCCAAACTGCAGCCAGCAAGGCCAGCCATACCTTGTCATGCACCCAAAGGTGCATCTCAAGCCGGTCCGGAGAGGTGATACTCCCCCTCTATGCAACTTTGGTCAGGCCGCAGCTGGAGTACTGCATCCAGTACCAGGCGCCGCACTTCAAGAGGGATGTGGCCATCCTGGAGAGGGTTCAGATGAGGGCCACCCGCTTGGTGAGAGGGCAGCAGGACACGCCCTGCGAGGAGAGACTGAGGGACCTGAACCTGTTCAGCTTCAGCAAGAGGAGGCTGAGGGGGGCCTGGTGGCTGCCTACAAACTCATCAGGGGAGATCAGCTGCAAATAGGTAGAGCCCTTTTCTCCCCAGCACCACCTGGGGTGACGAGGAACAATGGTAATAAGCTGATGGAGAATAGGTTTAGGTTAGAGATCAGAAGGCAATTTCTTACAGTTAGGTTGGCCAAAATCTGGAACCAACTTCCCAGGGAAGTGGTCCTCACCCCTATGCTGGGCAAACTCAAGAGGAGGTTGGATGATCACCTGTCTGGGGTCTTGTGAACCCAGCATTCATTCCTGCCTGTGGCAGGGGTTCAAGCTAGATGATCTGTTCAGGTCCCTCCTGACCCTAGCTACTATGAAACTATAAGCTATTGCTCATGAAAGCTTATGCATCTCTGATTTAACTAAGGTACACCTCTCCCCTGACTTCTGCCCGGCTCATACGAATGCAGCTAACGGCGTACCTCTCTGCAGCAAAACAGGACAGCCAGCCAGCAGAGGGCAGATGAGTTATCAAACCCTGTTCCCAGTTACATTTTCATCTGCACCAGTTTCATTAACGATAGGCTTGGTAAAAGGGACAATACAACAGGCAGGATCTCTTTGTTTTTTTTTCTTTTGAAATAAGGTGATAAAGCAAGGTGGGGGTAGAGGTAGGGTGAAAGAAACCTAAGAATTTTGTTTGCTTATAGATGAGAGAAGGGAAAAAAACTATCATGTCTCTGACCTGCATACCAACAAGTAGGAAGTAGAAAATAAAGCATCCTTTTAAAAGCAAGCAATCAGTCCCAGGCATTGACCATCTAAATATCAATACTGGGTGCACTATACTCAGCCTTCTGAGATCTGAAGCTATTCATTCTAAGAGCTTTTATCAAAACCAAGATGCTCATAACACCCAGACTTTTCAGGTTTGAGAGACACAAAGAAAAATTTATATTCTCTTTGAAAAGAAATTCGTTCATTATTTTCAATATTTTAAAAAACTCAAAATAATGTTTTTAAAGTATCCGGTATAATGTCAACTATATCAGCGTTAGCTCGTGCATCAAAAATATATGAACGGCTTCTTTTTTGCATAAATTTTACCTTGTCATCCATTAATTATAAAAATAAAAAATTAGTAAAAAACATGAGATCCAATGATAAAATATATTGAAAGAAATATTCTAACAAGCCATGAGCCATCTTCTCAAGAGGTTAATTTACCAGTTCAAACATTCAGATCTGATGGGCTCATTAGCAAGAGATTGAGCAGAAACTGGATATAGGTGAATGCGAGTGAATTTAGGCTTTCACAGTTGCACGATGAAGAGCATAGTTGTAGCTTCTTTTTGAAAAAATGTGTTGATGTTACTTGAAAACACATGCACACAACATGTGGGTGAAACACTAACTTCAACATCAGCTTTACCAAGAAGTTCGACTCAGGTAGTCAAATTCAATAATGAACCCATTATTACTAGCATTTTCTGTTTTGATGTTGGATTTCCCCCCAAGGCAAGTAGTAAATATATCACTTGCTGACATCCCGTTTTTATTCTAGGTGAATAATGCGCCACAAACCAAAGGGGTTTTTTGTTGTTGTTTGTGTTTGTTTTTGTAATAAATTTAGCTTAACACTAAGTTGTTACTCCGGTGACAAGTTAGCTAACTCCCACTGGTTTTAAAGTTAACTTTGCCCGAGCATGAGCTATGATGCTGTTTTGATGAATGGCTGGCCTATTCCTTAATATTTCTCCCAAACTTTGTGCTCGTTTCCAACATCTGGACAAATTTCCAATAATCAGCCTTACTGGACTTCAGCAGAATTGAACTACAATTTTGCAGAAAGGTAATTTCAAGGCAACTGGCTTTCCCCCAAAAAAGCAAAGATTTATGTACCATGGAAAATATTTAAAAGCAGCCCAGAAATAGAAAGCTTACACCCCTCCTTTATCCTGAGAGTGATTCTGGATTTTTTTTAAAAACCTTAAGTTAAAAATGATGACAAACAAATGCTTTCAAATGTCACATGACTTTTTTCAACAAAGGTAGAACATCTTCTGAGGTTTACTTACAACAATGTGTGCTGGAGATGGAGACCTAGCATCCTTGAGGGCTTGTCTACTCTGAAGGCTCCCTGCCTGTACATCAAGCAGTGGCCATTTCATCTGGAGATACTGGATGGGAAGAAACAAAAATGGGAAAAGAAAAATGAGTTCAGAAAAGAAAGGCTAAAATAACAAATCTTCGGTAACATGGGCGAAAAGTTTCAACTAAAACGTATGCAAGAAACTGAAACAAAAGACAAACAAAAAACCAAAATAAGAAAATATAATAGTAAAAAAAGAGAGAGACAGGAGGTACCTTTACATAGTTATGCAAAACGCAACCTGTGCAGAACACTAAATACTTTCATATCACAGCTTTACATTTGGGGAATAAGAAAATAAGGCAGACTGCAAAGACAACGCTATTCCAGATGATTTATTATTATCGTCATTCATATACCAGATCTGGAATACCATGCTGAAATAAAAACAGAAGGTGTGAACAGGAGAAGGAAGCAAACAGTCAGCTTTAAGAAACAAAAAGTATTCACGTTCCTGAACTGGAGGTTTTCATTCTCCTATTGAAAAGAACAGTTTAATTCACCACCTAGTCAGCAGTCACTTGGTAGCCTTCATCAAGATGATAATCAACTTTTACGTGTACGTACCTTAAAGACACACTTTTACCCCAGAAGGCAAAGTTGTGCAATTAAGTTTTGTGAGTCCTCACATTTATTTTCTTTCAGGGGCTTACAGATCAAATGTGCTCGAGGTTGTTTCATAAAAAGCTAGCCTGGCAAATTCAACCTGAGTTCGGAAAGTCCCGGGCTCTTTTTCTCGTATGCTCTCGCCAGCCTAAATACAAGCCGTCTGCAACTGCATCTATACCTGCACGACAACTCTGCAACCTCACTAATGGCAATGCCTAGCTGCCTGGACTGGTAACGGAAATGCAGTGAGCAATCCAGCAGATGAGGGGTAGCACCATCTTGGCTCTGCCTGGCTAACAGGGATAGCCGAGACTGTCGCTAAATTCGACACAGAAGGCCTGGGGAAAAAAAAACGAAAACACAAGGAGCAGATCTGCTGAGTAAGAGGTGCTAATTTGCACCCCTTCAGACCCTTCAAGCAGAGCTTTACCATTAACTTAATTGGCAGCAGTTCTGGACGCCAAATTCTACCCAAATCCTTCTGATTAAAGCCGCTTGAACCACGGACACGTACCTGGGAGACAGAATCGGCGCCAACAAAACCAGTGAAAGCAGCACACCTTCTGTTCTTTGAGAACTGAAGCCAGATGGATCTGACTGCAGATGAGTTGTCTCAAAAGAAACAGTGAGAGCCACGAGGCTCATGATATTTAAAAGTAAACAGCAAAATGTTGCAGAAGATACAGTACTGGGATTTTCCTACACTAGGCCTGGGTGACCTAAGAGGTCTACTTCTACTTCTTTGATACAACTCGCTATAGGCAGCGCCTGGAAAGAAGGTTAAGTCTGCTCGTCCTTTTTTTTGTAAAGAAGTATTTTCTACCCACTTGATGAATGAAAGTAAATTCAAGTTTAAGCAAAAGGAAGTCAATTCCCCCACCCAAAAGAAAAAGCAAACAAAATGTGACCCTCCAAGGCAACCCACACGAAAGAAGCCCTCGGCAATTTGTCTTTATTTCCCAGACTTGCTTTGAGCCCATGCATTTAGCATGACACTATTGCATTTACTCAGGAATGCAAAACACACTTACTCGCATGGAAGGTCTTTTTGATGCGCGGCTGCGTGCATCAAGGTGACCAAAGCCGCCATTGGGGAGTAGTGACCACTTCCAATCACTTGGAGGGCCCCTGACTTTCAAGCAACTGAAATGCAAATAAACAAACACGTACTCTGGACTTTTGCCCATAAGAGTTCTCAAGTTCCAAGAAATCTTTTGTTTGCATGAATCCTTGCATTTGGGATTTCTGCAACATGGACTAGAAATGCTTGTAATTCCCCAAAACCAAACCAAACCACCCAAACGATCTCAGTGTCACCAACTCTCACCATCTTATTGTGGCCCTCCAAATATCTGAAGTTTGACATTGCGCCCCAGCTCTTGGAGACAAGTGACAAAGGTGGATCACAGACTGAAAAAAGCCATCAGTAACTTAACATGCACCATGACTGTATCACCATACACATGTGCTTTTGCATGGGGAAAAATCAGTGCAAGGCACTGAACAGTCCATACATTTGTTCCTTGAAGAGGAGCAATAGCAAGGTCACAAATGCAAGAAATAATGATAACCAGATCCACAGATCTTCAGGATTATTAGCTCCCCAACATGCTCAGTAGCATTTTAAAATGGGGATAAGCTACTGGTCACCCCTTAAGACTCAACTTTGCTGTTTATTTACAAAATAGATCCAGTGCAATTTAAATGGCCCACAGCATGCGCCTTACATCTGACCTAGACCCCCACTTAGATGCTCAGAAGTTTTCCAGCGAGTGTCAGCTGTACTAGTGGTTTGGGCACCAGTTAATGAGCACAAAGCCACAAGAGTGGGGTGACCAAACTCATTTTCCTAGCCCGCCAGACAGCCGTAAGAGAAGTAGTCAGTGACTTAAGATACTCCGTTAAGTATGACAAACCCACAAAGAAACCCAGTGTGTTGGAGCTAGGTCATGGCCAGTGAAGGCCCAGGTCTGATCAATCCTCTTGCTGCTATGCACTGGTCCCCGAGAACAGATCAGGATACACAGACACAGCAGTGTGGGCAAGCTCACCTCTGATTTACTGCCCATGCAGTAAATATTACACGGAGAAAGAGAAGGCTGTGGGCCGCAGGGCTGTCAAGTCAGCACCTTTTTACCTAAATTCTCTGAAAAGGAAACTGTGAAGGAAAGGTACAGGTTTTTTTCTGCTACCAGCCTGTCTCTCTAAAGAGTCAGTAATTTCAGAGTAATTGCCCAGGTGAACAGGGTAAAAGATGGAAGGAACCAAGAAAGAACCTACATTTGCTTTGCTCTTCCAGGTTTCAATTCAACCCTTACATTTTATGGCTGATCTCAGTGAAACCTTCCTTGCACCCACCCCTAACAAAGAGAAACGCCAATAAATCTCACGCTGCCGAGCCCAGGGGGAGAGCCAAAAGCCGCCTCTCTTCCTGAACGCAGTGGGAAGTGAATTCCAGCGCCGTTCAGAAAGAGAAGTCCAAACCAAAAGGTCGGTTTTGACATGCGTGCGCGCACACACACACGTGCAGCTTCCATTGCCACCAGTGGGAGTTACACATACGTATCACAGGGAAAAATAAACGGGCTCTGCAGACGGTGGTGGTGCGCGCTGGGCAATAAAGCAACATCCGTCAGCTCTACCAAGTGGCAAGGCTCCAGCTACATGTTCCAGCCCCACCAAGGGCGAGATGCTCTGTCCGGAGGATACACACAAAAGACCCGGAGCCTGAAGCAAGTCGCCGTGTCAAGCTAACCAACTGACAGTTTCAATGCTGGGATGCTTGCAAAAAAAAAAAAAAAAAGTGTAATTTGCTGGCTCTACCGCACCAGTCCCGTTGCTAAAGTATGAAATATAAGCATTGTTTAAGGTGACAAGCCTGGCTTGCAAACTGCACGGCCAAGAATTGTCATGCCTGTAATGCAATATTAATGTGGTGGCTTATAATTCTTACTTTACATAAAAGCTTCATTGTGTGCCAAATCCAATCTCCACAGGCTACCTGAGCCACAGATTTTTACGAGTCTACATTTCAGCGCTGCAAGTCTACAATACACATAATTTTCAATTATGTTAGGGCAGAACAGGATCACTGCCTATATAACATTACTGGTTGGAGGAAATGAGACTCAGCCTGACTGCCGAGCTAACTGAATCCAGATGGTGGGGGAGCGCACGCGAGAGAGCAGCCCTATGGAGTTACGTAGCAGCAACCGCCCCTTGACAACTCTCTCTTTCACAATGGAACCAGACGCCAAGTAATTGCCATGGCCCCCACCGTCCACGCACAATACATTAGGTATTAGGTTGGAGACGGTCGAAGGGAGGATTCTTTTGGCAGACGACGAGTTACATCACAGCTCTTACATGCAAACATTAGCAGAGAGGGGTGGGGTGCAAGAGGAAAGCAGGGAGTGATTGGTTTCGCAGGTTTACTATTGCTGCAGTTTATTCTTATTAAAAAGAAGAAGAAAATTAGGTCCTATTACAGCAGAGAGGTAAATCCTTTCCTTCCTCGAGTGACTAAATAGCAGGAAATCCTATTCTTTCGGCCCTAAATACAGACTTGAGTCAGGCAGTTCCTCCGATTTGCAGGGAGACTATAAAAATCCAAGTATAATTTTTCCCAGCATTCTGACACTGGTTTCACATTCCTAGGCTGGGGGTAGATTGGGGGGAGGACCAGAAGAGAGGAAAATTCCCACCGTCGATGCTTAAGAATTAAGACCCTCCATAGCACACTGCATGTGCACCCGCTCGCTCACCCCTCCACCCGCCCCTTCTGCTCCTGTGCCTAAATGTGGAAATTATGAATTGCCTGGGCAAACACAGAACTTTTCAACAAATTAACTCAAAACTAATCTGTGCATATTATTTCAGGGCAGCCCCACCCCCCAAAAAACCCTCCAAGCTTCCCCAAAAAGCCTGTTGAAATGCAGTCTGCCACCTTCTTTTTACATTTTTAAAGTAATGTCATCTTGGCATAAGTGTTTTTATTCCTTGTCTATGTCTAATAATATGATCTGATGTGGCTCATTAGTATGTTTTGGTTTTTTTAATATATTTTATGGTAAGTCTCTGAGAACTTAAGTGAAATAATTGTTAAGCTCCAGGCCTTGGCGCAAAGATTAAAATACAGAGGAGGCGAACACACTTGAGAGAAACCAAAGCCTTTTAAAAGTCTGTTAAATTGTCAGCACAAGGGGAAAGACAAACATCTCAAATGGCCCAGATTTGTTTTTTGTGAAAAAAAAAAAAATGAAAAATCATCTTTACGGTCCTGCAGGACGTAGGTTTTTACCCACCACTGGGCCATAACAACTGTCCCTTGGACCCCACCGTGCTCAGGGTCCCTTGTACTGGCAGGCCGTGCCAAGGGACCAGCTCTTAGGGGAGAGACATGTTATCCATTATTATCAG